CCTGGGAAGCCGTGCAGTCAATCTAACAGCCGCCTGGCGAGGGTGCTGCGCCCAGTACCTCGTCAGTCCCCACGGCAGGGCTTCCAGGAGGGCACGAGGCGGATGGCACGCACCAGCCGCGGGACCTGGGCAAATATTTGGAGCCTCCCCAGGCCTCAGCTTGCTCCTCTGAGAGGATGGCGTTCAGACTGCGTCGTCTCCAAGTGTCGTCTGAGCTCTGTGCGACTCTGGTTTCCGATCCTGTTGAAGAGTTCAGAGCCAGAAGGTGACGTGAAGCTGTGAGCGCTCACGAAGCCAGTCCCACCCGTCACCAGCACAGGGCCGGCCTGCGGTGGGTTCTCGATAAACGTTTGCTGAACCGACACCAGCCTTTAGCTGCTCATGCGTTCTCAGTTCAGCTGCCAAACTTTTCTCATGAGCTCTAGGGAATAATTAGTCTTTTCCATTAATTGTCTGGAAAAATGCATTTTGAATTTTTAACAGTCGCCTTTTACAGGAGCATTTTCAGCTCACCTTCTCGGAGTGCTGGTTACCTGCTGATGGCTTGACGTGCGTCACCACATTCAGTTTTATTCACTTCTCACAACGACCCAACGCGGCAGGGATTATTAATCCCCATTTGATGGATGAGGAAACTGAGGCACAGTGAGACTGGGTCATCTATCCGAAGCCACACACGTGGTGGAGACTGGACTCAATCTGAGTGCCTCATTTCCAAAGTGCCACCGCTCCATACAGCTAGCCGTTGACAAGAGACCCCGTTTCTGTGTTGGCACTGCAGGACGGCGTGCATGTGGCCAGACATAGCTGTGCTCTAGAGCAAGACCCACCACAGCTCAGCCCGGTGGATGGTTCGCCCATGCTCGTCCCTGGAGAGAACGAGCGGCTCTCACACACCTTCTGTCACACTAACCACTGACTCAACGGATACTGACCGACAGCCACGTTCTTGTGTAGGTGCTGGGGTCGAAGCAGGGAGCAATACAGAAAAAATCCCTGCCCCTGGGAGCTTATATTTTAGCAGGAGGCAAACAGAAACAAGCAAAAAACATAATAAGTATATTAAATGGTATGTGAGAAGGAGAAAGGGCTATGGAAAAAAAAATAGATCGAGATAAAGAGGATCTGAAATGTGGGAAGGGGGATTTAATTCACAATAGGCCTCCTTGCAAAGATGAAATGGGAGTGGAGATGGAGGGTGGTGAGAGATGTGGACGCGTGTGAGCTATGCAGCTTTCTGGAAGAGTGACGCAGACACAGTCAGTGCAAAGGCCCTGAGGTGCATATGTGTCCGGCATGGTTGAAGATGGGCAAGGAGACCAAGGAGGCTGGAGAGGAATGAGAGAGGCCGATGGAGGTGGTCAGAAGGGGCCAGATTCTAGAGATGTAATCCAAAGGCAGAACTAAGGGAGCTGCTGATGTTGTGAAGGTGGGATGTGGGCGAGAGAGGAGGAGTCAAGGATGACCCCAAGGTTGGTGGCCTGAGTAACTGGAATAATAAAGACTTCAGAACAATGCCGTAGTACTAAGAAGTGGTCAGCTGCTCTTTTCTCTCTTTCTCCATGGGCTCTGTGGACCTTTGCCTGGGGTCTGGGTGACATGCCTGTGCCAGAGTGGGACAGTGGGAAGGGCAAAGAAAGAAGGCAGTATGACAAAATTATTTTACAATGTACCAAGATATGAGAGCCAATACCTCCTTTTATTTTCATGAGGAAAAACCCACGATTTTTGAAACCCTTTTAGACTTGTGGAAGAGTTGCCAAGATGGTATGGAGTCTCCATAGCTCACGCAGCGCCCCCTGCTGTTGCCATAGCCATAACCACAGTGCAATTACCAAATGAGACACTCGCTCTGGTGCGCTGCGATTAACTAACCTGCAGACTTCGCTCAGACTCCCGAGTTTTCCCCCTCGTGCCGTTTCTGTGATGCGGGATCCCTCCCTGTGTTTTGTTGTCACGTCTCCTTAGTCTCCTCCAATCTGAGACGGTTTCTTGTCTCCTTGGCAACTGCCTGGCAGCTCTCTCCTTTTTCCTTGGGCCCCAGGTCTGGGCAAGAGTCTAGGGGAGGGGGGAGTCCTGGCCACCCGCCCAGGGAACCAGCGCCAAGAGAGGAGCCCGGCCTGGGCCACCACCCTGTCCCCAGCTCACTGCAGCTCTCAGCCTCCGGGACTGCCCGTCCCTGGTCACCACGGCCACTTCGGATCTACAGAGCTGGGTGTGGGGGGCAGGAAGACAACCCCCTGGCAATGCCTGTTTCCCCCACAAAACACAGACGGCTGCGGAAAGGGTGGGGCCCACCTGAGTTCCATCAGGATCAAAGTCCTGACACGGCAATTTGCTCCTGGGGCTGAAGAACGCTGCAGCCTGGAAGGGGAGCCCCCTCTGCCCCTCCCTGCCCCCCCCCCCCCCCCCCCCAGAGTCCCGCAGCTGCAGCCAGAGGCACCTGAGCCACCTGCCGCAGGGTGGTTTGGAGCTAAGACCATGCTGGTATTGCTGGGATGGTTCAGGTCAGGAAGGGCCCCATGGCCCAGTTACCATGGCAACCAAAGTTGGCTTTCAGGGCGTGGATGTTTAGATCTTATTTGGGCTTAGAGACGTAATAGAGAGACTTAGAGATGCGTGACGTCATGATGCTGAAGGCCCCACACGCATATTCAAACAAATCTCTCCTCCAGTTGGCCACTGGAGGTGAGCACACTGGCGCCAGGCTACGCAAACTGAAAGATGCACCACTGTCTTCTTAGGGAGTGGAAGATGCTGACACAGCCCTGATCTGGGAGAGAGGCTCCTCAGAGGACAGGGGCACACTCTTTATAAGTGCCACCAAAGCCGTTTGTACAAGTGGTCCACTAGTTGGCGGCGGGGGTGGGGGGTGGGGGTGGGGGGCTGCAAGCTGCTTGTTGATGATGGAAGGTTATTGGCCAGGGACCAGGATACCTGGCTTCAGCATTAGGATGGGTGTTAGAGGAGCATGGACTCTGCGGCAAGACCACCCCGGCTCCAGCACCAATTAGCTGTGTGACTGTGGGCAAGGGTCTTGGGCTTTCTGAGTTTCAGTGCCTTGCCTGTCAAATGCAGGACCACAGAATCTACCCCATAATACTGTTGAGGGTTAAATGGTCAGAACCACCCAGGACACCGTAACTGTCAATGATAGCTCTCAAATCCTTGCGGCGGGATCGTGAGCGAGTCAATTTCCCTTCTTCAGGACTCTGTTCTGAGCATGCGCCACCCAGGGCTCCTTGCAGCGGCTCCAGGCCGGGTGTTTTGCTGTGTGCTCATCCTCGCTGTGGCTGTCATGCACAGGCCCTGCTGCAAGTGACAGAATGACGTTGGCTCTGGGAACGGGAGTGGGCTGGGGCCGGGAGAAGCCTTCCTTTACTTTAGGATTTCGTTTCATTCCAAACGCAGGATTTTTTTAAATTCCCAGTGCAGTTTCCCCCTGACAGCAGTAAGCTAGGTAGCCATGAGGCACTGGGAGGTGAGGCCCTGCTCTCATTTCTACGCCCGACCCCCGGGCATGGAGCACGGACGCCGGGCCTTCCACACTGCGGCTCCAGCCTCTCCTCCTCTTAGAAAACCCAGCTCTGGGGTTCTCTCCGTGATGCTTTGTTGATATCTCCCAGAGCTATTAACCCGAGTTAATAATCCTTCCTCTCTGTACGTTATCTCATGTTTCTCTATTTTATTTGACACAGCTGTCTCTCCCACTGGCCCCCAGGCTCCTCGAGGGCTCGGATTATGGATCACTTATTTGTATATTTACAAGTGTTTGCAGAGGGTTTTTTCTCTTTTTTTTGAGGAAGATTAGCCCTGAGCTAACTGCTTCCAATCCTCCTCTTTTTGCTGAGGAAGACTGGCCCTGAGCTAACATCTGTGCCCATCTTCCTCTACTTTATATGTGGGACGCCTATCACAGCATGACTTGCCAAGCGGTGCCATGTCCGCACCGAGATCCAAACCCGCGAACCCTGGGCTGCCGGGAAGTGGAACGTGTGCACTTAACCACTGGGCCACTGGCTGGCCCCTGTTTGCAGAGTTAAATGAAGCTGAGTATATGTGGGGTGTATACTTGTTCAAACAGATTGAGTTTCTTTTATGATGATTTCTTTTTGGTGTAAATTTGCTTTCAGTTTAAGTAATCAAAACATACTTGGATAAAGATTCTTAAGTGGATTAAAAATAACAATGTATTCTTAATGATGATGCTTGCAAAACTGGAAATGGAAAAGATTTTTCCATTTTATTTGTGTCTGAATAAGAGAAAGAACAAGGGGAGGGGAACGCTTCTGCCATTTTATCTGTAAGGAAAAAAGAAACCATAGAAGAAGTAGAAAACTAAAATGACCTTCAGAACTAATTTCTGGTTGATACAAAAGAAGGAATTTAAAAATTGGGAATCTGATTGTCTACGAGAATTTTTGTTTTGTTTTTTTTGTGGAAGCTTAGCCCTGAGCTAACTGCTGCCAATCCTCCTCTTTTTGCTGAGGAAGACTGGCCCTAAGCTAACATCCGTGCCCATCTTCCTCTACTTTATATGTGGGACGCCTACCACAGCATGGCGTGCCAAGCGGTGCCATGTCCGCACCCGGGATCCGGACTGGCGAACCCCGGGCCGCCAAAGCGGAACATGTGCACTTAACCGCTGCGCCACCAGGCCGGCCCCTACAAGAGTTTTTTTACACTGGGTTTCATAACTCAACGATCTTGCCCGAGGCCCCAGGAGAGAATGTGGAGTTAGGTCGGAAGGCAGAAGTGAGTTACTGAAAATCGTAGGTGGTTAATATTAACTTCCTTGTCTTTCATGAATAAAGCCGTCACCCAGAACTCATGGGTGAAACGCAGAGGGCTTTCAACTAAACCAGTGATTGGCACACTTTCCCTAAAGGGCCAGACGGTCAATATTTCAGGCTTTGCAGGACAAAGAGTCTCTGAAGCAACGTCTCAACTCTTCAGAGGGATGTCGAGTCAGCCGGGACAGCAGCAAGCAGGCGCGTGGCTGTGTTCCAATAAAGCTTTATTGACAAAAGGAGGTGGGAGCTGGATCTGGGTGCTGGCTACAGCAGGTTGGTGACCCCTGAGCCAGACACTCCATTTTCAGGTCCAAGTATCCATTCTCTTAAACACACCACGCACCAAGTCGTAAGGTTATTATGCCATTGTGATTATTTGCAATTTTAGCACAGATGACCAAATTATGAGTGAAAAAACCAAACCTCTGGGGCTGGGAGGCCGGATTTGTGTGTCTGGGCGGCAGTTTCAGATGGAGGACGGTGGCCTCCTGCCTCGCAGAGCCCGCCTCCAGCTGTCACGGCTCCCTTCCTCACTGGGTCGCTCGTCTTCTGGGACCGTGGTGCCCAGAGGGGGTCTGCTGGTGTGTAGATTTACTTCAGACTTAGGAGAGCACAAAACTACCCAGAACCGTGGGCTGGCAGTGTGGCTGAGACAGCGCAAGGCTTCCCCAGGTACAAGTGTTAACTTTTTTAAGAAATGCAGGAAGGAAAATAAATTTGCTTCTTTTATTACTCCAAGGTTTTATGTGACTTACTGTGTTAGTTGGGGTTTTCCAGAGAAACAGAACCAGCAGGATAGATGGAGAGCTGTGTGAGGCTCATGGTAGGAGCTGGCTCACACGGTTGGAGAGGCTGAGAAGCCCCACCGCCTGCCGTCTGCGCGCTGCAGACCCAGGGAGCCAGGAGTGCCCGTCAGTCTGAGTCCGAGGGCCTGAGAATGAGGGGCACTGGGGTTCACGGGCAGGAGAAGATGGATGCCCTAGCCCCAGCAGAGAGTGAACCCCCCGTTCCTCTGCCTTTCTGTCCTGGTCAGGCCCTCAAGCACCTGGGCGAGGGCACCTTCTTTCCTCAGTCTACTGAGGAAAGTCAAATGCCAGTCTCTTTGGGAAACACCCTCAGAGACACACCCAGACGTGATATTTGCCAGTGAGCTGGGCATCCCTAAGCTCAGTCAAGTTGACAGATAAAATTAACCATCCAACTACTGTTAAAGTAACTTTTACCAAAAAAATTAGAATCGTAGTTTAAAAAACCTTAGTTTCTAGGAATATATTTAAGGCTAATTCTACCATTAAACTGATTGATGTTTAAAGCCCCCAGTGAGATAGACCAGTGTGGTCTTTGAAAACTGCAAACCTTGCTCTGCTTCTCTCCAGGCCCCCACGTGGGTCACAAATCAAGCGTAAACTTCTACACCATGGAGTGTCACTGAGGACAGGCTAGATGATGCCACAGTAAGAAACAGCTCCGAGCAGAACTAGCCTACGACAGCAAAGATTTAGTTCTCACCTAGGCCACATGTCCTTCACGAGTGAGCCGGGGGATGTGCTCCAGGACCTCCCCCTCTGGAACCTGGCTGGTAGAGCTGCCATGACCAGTCACTGTGACAGAGAGGAAGAGACTGTGAGGGGATCTTTCAGCAGAATTGATTGCTCTAGTCCAGAAGCGACACACTCACTTTTGCTCACAAGTCATTGGCCACTTTGGTTCAGTGAACACCCTGAACAACCCTACATGTAGGGCGAACAACTCATCTGGCAGAAAGTCCCACAACCCGGGTATACCCTCAGTCCCAGGGAAACAGAAATGGCTGGTCACCCTCCCTACATGGTAGTCCTGGGTACCTTATACTCAGAGCTCGCCTTGTCTATTCTGCTAGGTTTCGCAGGTATTTGGGTATAGCTAACATAATGAAAAACCATGGAGACTAGACGGACAGGTTCGAGTCCCAACTCTGCTACTTACTAGCTTTGAGACCTTGGGCAAGTCCCCCGCTCTTCTGAGCCTCAGCTTTACCATCTGTAAAATGGAGGAAGGTAATATCTGCCTTGTAAGGCTGTCAGGGGGCTCCTTTGGAGCGAAGGCCTGGAAAGGGAACAGGGCAGAGCCCGGCAGCCTCTCAGGAAGTGCCAGCAGCCCCCGCTGGGTGGTGGCTGACTGCACAGGGAAGGGCAGGTATGTTCCAGAGGACAGATGCTGCTGCCTGGCTGAAGGACTTGTACAAACAGAGTGGGCATTCATCGGTAACCCCTGTGAGCAGGCGGGGACCTCGACTCCACTCCACAAGTTAAAGATATACGAGTGAACGAGCCAAGAGACTTAATATTTAATCTGAGTTTTCACTGGAGTCCTCTGTTCCCTTAGCTGATTGATTCACTGGCGAATCCTCAGGTCTCCAGCGAGAAGCAGGAACATGAGCATCTTCCCAGCTCTCTGGGACCATGGCTGGTTCTGTGCAGCAGTGACCATCCGAACAGGGCAGTGTCCACACTGCAGACTTGCCCTTCACGGTGAGGGGGTTTGAGCTTAAAGCTGGACATTTCATGTTCATTGCACACTCTTGTTAGCCGGGGGTGTTGCAGATGTTAACATCTGTGATAAAAAGGATGTGTTAATGGCCACATTTGCACTGGCCTCATTGCTCCCTCCCCACCACTGCACAATTTCCTCAGGATGGCAAATAACCCTAACGTACGTAGCCCGGAGTCTGGGTATGCTCTGATGGCCTTCAAATCCCCAACCCAAAACTGCATGTTTGTGGAATGGTGAGTCTGCCCAGGACTGTCTGTGAGCGGATCTGCAAGGAGAAGGGAGCAGGTTCACTGAGGCCAGCCAGTGTGGATACCGTACTGGACAGTCATGAGGCTTGTCCTGTCCACAGCCCCTGGGGAAGGGATGGCCCTTCCACACGAGCCATCCCATAGCTCAGGGGGCCAGGTATGGGCGCCTGAAACAGAGTACCCCAACTCTAGAGCGGCCAGCTTCCTGATCACCAGTAAGCACCCCACCCCACCCGGAGCGCCCCAGTCCAGGTAGAAACTCGGCCGAAGGAGAGTCTTATTCACACAGCAGCAGAGTCAGCCCACCAGCAACCCGTTCCTTCTTCCTCACACATGGACGGGGTGGGCTGGGGGATGACGCATTGTCCAGATGAAGACCTCCGACCAGTCCTCTGGTTTGTATCCCTGCTTCTCGCTCCCACCTTCTTTCATACCTGCTGACCAAGTCCCAGAGCCTCACCTTTCGGAGGACCACCTCCCGTCTCCTCTCCAGCCCCCCACATCATACTAGAGGCTGTGGTTTCTCTTCCTGTTTCATCTGGCAGCTGTCTACTATCAGCTTTCCATCTTCCAGAAATGGGTTGAAATCTCTCATGTGTGACTTTCCTTCCCCTTTCGAACTCCTTCCTCATCCCTTTTTCTTTTCCGAACTTCCTTTTTTTTTTTTAACTTCAATATCTTTTTTTTTTTTAAGATTGGCACCTGAGCTAACATCTGTTGCCAATTTTTTTGTGTGTTTGTTTTTTCTTCTTCTTCTTCTCCCCAAAGCCCGCCAGCACACAGTTGTACATTCTAGTTGCAGATCCTTCTGGCTGTGCTATATGGGACACCGCCTCAGCATGGCTTGATGTGCGGTGCTGGGTCCACGCCCAGGATCCGAACAGGTGAAACCCTGGGCCCCTGAAGCAGAGTGCGCGAACTTAACTGCTTGGCCACGGGGCTGGCCCCTTAACTTTAATATCTTAATTTCAGTGGGGTCTCAAGTTACAAGAGAAGCAAGCTCTAGGCCTGATCTGCCATTTTGAACCAGAAGCCTGTAGATGTCTTGTTAAGCAATGAGAACTGGTCAACTCATGGAAAGTCTGTAGCATAAATCCCGCTTTCTACCTTTTGTTTAAACACGTTTTACTGCATATAATCAGATTTTTTTTATAATTTTATAGACTGGGTCAAATCAATCCTGAGGTAGACATGCCAACTCTGAGGACTTAAGATATCTTATTTCTGAGTAAATATTGCAAAGGAGTTCTGTAGCTCATTAATTGTCCTTAATGAATAGTGTTGACTCTTCCACACATTTCTCCCCGCCCCTCTCAGTGGTGAAGCCATGAAACCAAATGCAAAAGCTCGGACACTTTGCAAGAAGACAACACGATTATATGAGATACTGCAACAACTGATAGCCCTGTGGCTCTCTCAAGTTACTGATTAAGCATTAAAAATAGAAGCATGGCCTGCCTAGGTTTCAAATGCTGTCTCATTTCTCATCTGAGTATAAATACTATCTTTCTGCATATTTGTGATAACCAGCTCCTACACAATATATCTCTCTTATTGACAGCTAGTGATGTGTCAGGAATGGTGGAAAATGACAGAGGTTCTGAGCAGGTAGGGTAGATCTGGAGGGTCCCTGAGGAAAGGCCCTTGAGTTGGGCTTTGAAAGGGGTGTGGGGTTTGGCAGCCCACTACAGTGGGGGTGGTCCTTGGGCTATGGTAAGGAGAGGACCTGCGTCACGTCCAGCTGCCAGGCTGGACCTATTGCCAAGGAAAGCATCACTCAGGACACATCTCCTGCTGAAAGCGTCGACAACTGCAGCTCTCTCCCAAAGTTTAATTCGTTTACTGCAAGGAAGTGCTTATTTTCCAGGAGTTAAGCAGACAGCTCCCAGCCGGGCCTCATCTTCCACCCCTCCTCACCAGCTACCATGGCAGTCACTGCATAAAGAAGTCCTTTAGCTGGAGAGATGTGGCTGCCACGATGCCTCATTTTCAACGTCCCCATATTCCTGGCACTTTGCCAGCCCTTTGGGACAAAGACACTCTTGTCTGTGTCTACAGATGCTCTTAGTGGCCTTGGCCATGTGGGAAAGATTAGAGTGTTTGCTTATTATGGGAAGCGTCTAATAAAATCAACCTGGGTTTTTAGCATATTTGATGGAAGCCAGGTCTCCAAATGCAGCTGATTTTAAACGCACTCTCACAGTGGAAAGAACACAGCCTGTGGCATTACTGTCAGTGAAGCGGAGTAAGCTAGACGAGTCTGAGGAAACAGGATCGCAACCAAGAGGAGTCAGAAAAATCAGCTGCCCTGGGAGGTGAACACAGGGAGCCGTGGATATATTTAACCTATGAGTCACATGACTAGACTCTACTTAGGCAGAAGTAAAACATGTTTTCCTTTAAATGATTAAACTTAGTTGAAATTAGTTCAAGAAAAATTTCTTTTCCCTCTGAATGATTTTTTTTTTCCCCAGGCTTAAAGAGTTTCAAGATGAAATTTGTTTTCTTAAAGAGAAAACTTACATCAATAGCTTTCAAACTAGACACATCTGTGGACTTAGAACACCCCAATGACATCAAATAATGTATTTGGCCCATCTCCTACATCTGGATGTTTAAGACAGCACATCAAAAAAAGAAAAAGAAAAAAAAAAGGAAGGGGAGTTATAAATACTTCCTTGGTCTCTTGATAATAAAACAAATGGATATGGACTTGAATTCCAAGTATATTCCATCTTCTTGGGCATAAAGTTGTTAATGCCTACTCCTGAAGAGATAAAATAGTAAAATTTCAAGTCTATGGTTGGGAAAGGTTAGCCAAAATTTCATTTTAACAGTTTTTCTGCAATCCAGTCTGGATTCAAGTTAATGTCAAATCAAGACATGTGAGCTAAACCCAGGACGCGTGAGTGGTCCAGCTTTGGAAAGGGTGGGTTTTAAGTAAGTGGGGAAGGGAGAGGAGAAAACTGAGTCAAAGCAAAATGCAAGCATGCCCGACAGGGCCGGCTCTCAGTAGGCGGCTTTGGGGTGTTCCCTGCTCTTACTTTGGGGTTAGTTAACTTAAACTTAATGAGGTTTTCTTTCTTTTCTACCAACCAATGACCAAAACCTCCAATTAGTCATGATCAGCACCTATTGGTATTTCCTTTGCTTTTTCCCTTGTGGGGAAAGGATGCTTTCTCTGTCTCCTTCTTCTTGAAATTCTTCTTTCCCCAAACCAATTACTTTTTTTTTTTTGAGGAAGATTAGTCCTGAGCTAACTACTGCCAATCCTCCTCTTTTTGCTGAGGAAGACTGGCCCTGAGCTAACATCCACACCCATCTTCCTCTACTTTATAGTGGGATGCCTACCACAGCATGGCTTTATGCCAAGCAGTGCCATGTGCGCACCGGGATGGGGCCACGAACCCGCTGAGAAGCAGAACCTAGGAACTTAACCACTGCGCCACCGGAGCGGCCCACCGATTACTTTTTTGATGAGGGCTCTTGACGAGGCTCAGCATTCAGGCGCCACATCTCCGCAGAACCCGAGGGCCCACGGCTGCCCGCTACTGCGCTCCTCCGCGGAAAGGCTGGAGGGTTGTCCGCTCTCGGACGATCAGCCCCTGCCCTCCTGTCCCGTCTGGGTTCTGTACCTGCGCGGGAGACAGAAACAGGATGAGGAGGCCTCTGAGGCGCGGCACATTCGTTACCTATTCCATCCTGGGGAGTACTTTTACCGCCCCGTCCCTCCCCCAGTCTGACATCTGAGAAAGGGGAGGCTCGGAGAGGTGAAGTCGCCCACCGCCCCGTGAGCTCCGGGAGGCAAGGCCGCGAAGTCTTGGACGCAGGCCCGTGAGCGTCAGCCTCGGGAATGCTTTCCAGAAACGAACAGAAAGCCCCGCCGAGGTCCCCCCAGGCCTGTCGGAGCCCCGGTGTTAGTTCTTCCGGGCGGCGGGAGTCGGCGGACCGGAGGGCCGGGGAGCGAGAGCCGGCGGGCGTGGAGGGGGCCGGGCCGCAGGCGGGAGGAGAGCACGCCGGCCCCACGGCCCTCGCCCCCTCCCATCCAGGGACCCGGCACCCGGCTGTCGCTCCCACACCACCTCCCAGGGTTTGCGCGCCCCCTGCCCGGCCGCCCCCCACTCCCAGCTTTCGCCCCCGGGTCTCGCGCCCCTCCAGACCCGGGTTCGACCCCTCGTCCCCGGCCGCGCCCCCACCAGTGCCTTACCCCACGCATGTCCGGGGTCGCCCCCGACGCCGGCTGCCCCCCACTCCCAGCTCTCGCCCCGGGTCTCGCCTCCTCCAGGCCTGGGTTCGACACCCCCATCCCCGGCCCCGCCCCCTTCCCCAGTGCCTGCCCCTGCGCCCCCTCCCCCAGTGCCTTGGTCCCCCTGGCCCCGCCCTGGGCCACCCCCGCCAGCCCCTTACTCCCAGCTCTCACCCCGGGTCTCGCCACCGGCCAGGCCCAGGTTCCACTCTCAAGCCGCGCCCCCTCCTCGAGTGCCCTCGCCTCCCTGCCCCGGTCGCACCCCCTCCGCAGGTCCAGTCCGCCCCCCGCCCCGGCCGCACCCCCTCCGCAGCTCCGGTCCGACCCTGGCCTCCGGCCGCGCCCACTCCGCAGGTCCTGCCGGTCCCCCGCCCCCAGCTCCCGGCCGCGCCCCCTCCCCGAGCGCCCTCTGCCCTCCCCGACCCCGCCCCTGGCCCCGCCCCCGGCCGCGCCCCCTCCCCGAGTGCCCTCGCCCCCTCGACCTCCGCCGCGCCCCTGCCAGGCCCCCTCCCCAAGTGACTTCGCTCTGTCCCCCGCCCCCGGTCGCTGCTCCTGCCCGAGCGCCCTCGGCCCTCCGGACCGCGCCCCTGGCCCCGCCCCCGGTCGCGCCCCCTCCCCCAGTGACTTCGCTCTGGTCCCCGACCCCCGCAGCGCCCCTCCCCCAGTGACTTCGCCTTGCTGCCCCGCCCCCGGTCGCGCCCCTCCCAGAGCGCCCCCGGCCCCGCCCCTCCCGCGCTCCCGCCCCTCCCGCGCTCCCGCGGCGCAGCGGGCCTGCTCCGGGGCGGGCGGGCGGCCGGGCGCCATGGGCAGCGGCAGCAGCCGGAGCGGACGGGCCCTGAGGCGGCTGCGCAGCCCCGACAGCCGGCCGGCGGGGCCTGGCGGGGCAGCCTCGGAGGGCGGGACGGGGCCGCAGGTCTCGGCTGCGGTGGCCCGGGAGGAGGCTGGGGAGGCTGCGGCGGCCGGCCCCGACCCCGACCCCGACCCCGACCCCAGCCCCAGCCCCGGCTCCGCAGCGCCCCCCGACGGCGGGGACGAGACCCTGCGCCTGCTGGACCAGCTGCTGGCAGAGTCGGCGGCCTGGGGCCCGGCGGAGCTGGCCCCGCGGAGCCCGGCGCGGCCCCGACCCGCCGCGGGCGGCGGGAGCGCGGTGAGTGTGGAGCCCCGCGCTCACGCCGCGCTGGGTGCTGCCCGCCCCCTCCCCGCGCCCCGCGCCCCGCGCCCCGCGCCCCGCGCCCCTGCAGGCTCTCGGTGGGGGTGGGGGCGCCTCTTCTCCGGTCCCCAGCTGCGTGTCCTCCTCCCACCTGCCTCCAGTCCCTGCCGGACTCCCTGTCCCCCGCTGCCCCGGGTGTCACCCACCGTCTCCCTGTCTCCGAATCCCCATCACGCGGCCTCTCTTTCACTAACACCGCCTCTGATTTTCCTCCTCTCTGCCTCCTCCGGGTGCTGGTCTAACTGCCTCCAGTTTTGGGGTGACAGTGCTGGGAGCAGCCTTAAAGGGCGGGGTGACAGACATCCCTTGGCACAAATGCATCTCTGGGACTTTCCTCTGGCCAGAGCCGGCCCGCCCTTTCCTTTTGGAACTGTGTGTCCGCGCTCCAAGTACAGCACCCCGGCTCCTTCCAGCCTAGGTGGGAGCTGGCCAGGGGTGCGGCTTTTCCCTCAAGTACCTCCCCTTGGCCCTGCCCTGGCGACAGTGTTGGAGGAGGGTGCGAAGTGGTGGGACCGGTAGCCAAACAGTGGTTCACAAATGCCCCGTGTGTCAGACACATCAGGATCTTTGCCTCCCTAGTCGAGCAGTTCGCATACTACTGGCTATTTTTAAGACGCTGTGGAATCTCTTTTTGGCTTCACCGTTCTCTCAAGAACACTTGTAATAACAGCCCTGCTGTTCTAGAAAAAACAATAAAAATGAACTGTCTGGCAACAGTCTTCACTCCAGCAGAGCTGAATGAACACGATCTGTAATATCTGCTCGTGGGCTTGACGAGGATGCCAAAGACAGCGCCCTGTTCCCTGGTGTCCCTCAGGCTTTGCTTAACATCTGCTGGGGACCTGGGCAGCCACCAAGCAGTAGAATCCTGAAGACGCTTCAGGGAACTGGGAGGGGGCAGGGAAGGGCCCACCCAACCCAGCAGTGCAGAGAGCCTTTCTCGGTCCCCGCCACCGTCCTCTGCTGCCCTCCCAAGTGAGCTGCAGTGGGTAGGACTGAATTATATAACGAGATTCCTTTACCACTACATCAGCCTTCGGTTATATAACACTAGAAAGTGGATAAACAGTTGAGAAATTTAGGGAAAATTCTGACATGGCGTGGAAGCAATCTGTTAGTGGTCAATTTTCAAGTGCTCTGGAAACTTCAGGAGTGAAAATGAGAAGAAAACAGAAAGAATGGGTTCTCCCTCCCCCCCATTCGCTGAGGATCATAGTGCCCCTTAGGGTCACTTATGTATTGTTGGAGCAGCTGCTATGGGCTGGGCAGCGCTCTAGGGGCTGGAGAGATGGCCCTAGGACAGAGATGGCACCCAGTCCTTGCCCTAGAGAAGTCCATTGTCTAATGGGGGAAGATCCACAGACAAAAAGTAGAATCCAATGTGAGGAGAGCTCTGCGTAGCCACTGATCCCCTGGAGAACTGGAGGGCCGTTCCAGAAGGGTAGCAGTTGACTTGCATCTGGAAGAGTCTGGGGCATTAGGTAGGCAAACGAGAGGAGAAGAGCATTTGGGCAGAGAAAGCCCATGTGCAGAGGCAATGGCGGCCAGGGCACAGGGTGCCCGGGCACGGGTGGCAGCGAGTATATGGGTGGAAGGGCGGGAAGGGTGAATGCCGTGCTGTGGACACGTCATGCTAGGAGTGTTCCATGTTAAGACGTTTGGACTTTACCATAGAAGCCGTGGGTACCTGCAAAGGGCTAGGAGGACTGACCGTCTGTGTTTTAGGAAGATGACACCGGCAGCTGTGGGGAGGATGAGCTGGGAAGGGTTAGACTAGGGCAAGGTGGCTGAGTGGGGTCCTGCAGGGCTCCAGGCGAGCAGGTCCTGAAGGAGTCAGCGCAGTGAGGGCTGAAGGAGAGACGGGGGAGGAGACATTTCCGAGGTACAGTCAGCGAGCTGCTCTTTGGGATGTGGATCGTGTGTGTCCTCTGTGCCGTAAACGTTTTCGAAGGAATCCTAGAATCACAGGTTAGCAGAGCTGTGTAAGGAAGCTCCCATGTCCAATTCATTATTTTCAGGTCTGGGGAGACCAAGTGAAAAGGTTGAAGCCCCCTAATTCCCTGGCTCTAAAGGTCGCAGGTGAAAGGTGAATGCCTGGCACTCAAGTGCGGAGTTCGTGCTTTTTTGGTCTATACATTAGGTCCTGTCATTGACTCTCTCGGCAACCGCACATTTTACAGGACTCTGAGATAACAAGCACCACTGGTTGGAAAAAGTTGGGATTTGGATGAATCAGTGTTGAAACTCTTACATCGAAATTGGCCCTTCTTCAAAATGTTAGAAATGACGTTCCCAAGGACAGAGAAAATGCTTGATTGAGCATGTAAATAACACTATTTTAAATTTCTTTAGGAAGGAAGGAAGAAAACCTTCTTTAGGTACATAACTATGGAGCATTTGGGGGGCGAGAGGTATTCTTCATAAGAGAATATGAAACTCAAGTGAAATTGTCCCTTCAAGCACCCACATTTAAAAATTTTGACCACTGTTTATTAGAATTTCTTAGCGATTGATTATATATCTCTCTGAACCATCGTTCTGAATATGGTGTATTACTTGACTGTGTTCAGGAATAATTGCAACTGGTATTTTAATGAGCATTTGGGTTTCAAAAATCTGTTAATTCTTTTAATCTTTACACTTTTATCGTCCATTTTTACAGATGGGAAAGAGGAAACAGGCACAGAGAGGTTAAGTAACTTGACTAAAGCCACACAGTCACGGCAGAGCAGAGATCAGACCCTTGACAGTCAGGCTCCTGCACGCTTTTTATCAAAATGGCCCCAACAACTGTGATGCTTGCTTGTTATTGTCTTTCTGTCCTTGGTCCAACGTCAGTCTTGGAACTGTCACTTTTTGCCACCGTCAGTCTATACGCAACCAAGCAGCCTTCTCTGTGTCCCCCACCTGAACAGACCACTCTCTGAGCTGCCTGGGTGGTGGAATCACAGGAACGCGCTTGCTAGCGCTGTGTTGAAGGGAAGAGCAGAACCCGCTGGCATCAGGCGTGGGAGAGGGTCCTCCCGCCTGGAGAATCTTCTCTTCAGAGAGTGGGCTTTGTGGCAATTATTTTAACTGACCAAGTGTTGTTTTTTGTCTTATTTCTTAATTCTTGGTTGTTTTCCTGATACAGGTAGGGTTGCTGGATAAGAATGAAGTGTTTCCATATTCCATCCAAAACTGGAATTTTTAAAATTAATTTTTAAGAAGTATTTAAATCAACCATTTAAAAACCTCTCTATCCTTGGAGATTTCGGCTTTCATTGTGTGTAGGCTCTGAATTGAGATTAATTTTTCCCCTACATTTTGGCAAAAGCAGCTGTCAGTTAAACTCTTTTTTGTATGTGAACCACAATACTTTGTAACGAAACAGTGGATCAGAGGATTTTCACTCTGGATTGTAAGGTTAGGAAACATGATGAGCAAATTTGACGTAAGATACAAGTCTCAGGGACGTAGTAGTCCCTCCCCTTGGGGCTGTGTTACAAACCTCCACGTCCAGGAAACAGGATCTCATGGGAAAAATGGGATGAATGAGGCCAAGGCCACTGGTGAACCTGTGACAGTCCACGTGTGTATTTACATTCACTGATGTAAACTCTTGAGACAGTTCACAGAGTAACGAGAACATCAGTGACATGAGTGTTTTCTAATCCAGCTCCACACACTTTTTGTTATCAGTGCAAATCAGCTGGAAAGAAGTCTTTCCCACCATGCACTTGTCCGTTTTCGCCCATGCTCCCGGAGAGAAGCTTGTGGAATAGTTTGGCCTTGCTGCAGATGATAAGCCCAGTAAGGAAGGGCAGGGAGGGCTGCATTTACCGGGCACCTGTCTGTGTTCAGGACTGATTTAGGCACTTCATGGTCATTGTCCCACATCTCCCTCTGCAAACAGCCCTTGGAGGTAAATACCGCCTTCTCTGTTTTACAAATGAGGCCATTTCAGCCCCGAGAGATTGATAACTGACCCAAAGTCACACAGCCAGTAATTGGGGGAGGCAGAGTTTGTACTCAGGTCTGCCAGGCGCCAGCCCCTACTTAGAGAGCCCAGAATCTTCCATGCCTTTTCCATTTTCCAGGTGTTCAAGTCACAAGGCAGAGCCAACACTTTCAATGACCTATTCACAACAAGGGCACTAACGACTTGCCCATTTTTCTTTACCATATGATTTTTTAAAGATTCAGTGATTCCAGTGCTCCCTACCTCTGCCGCCTTCACCCTGAGCAAGTTATCAAGAGCTTGTCTTTTGTCCAATGAAAGTACCATCCTTCTTGCCCTCGTAACACTCCTTGGATGTTATTTTCAGCAGCCTGCTTACTCATTCAGATGTTTATGTGCTTAGGAGTCATACAAGTTTTACTAAAATGTACAAGACTCGCGATTATTTACTTGATATGTTATATCTGTAAACAGCATCCTTGACTCGAGCATTTTCATGAGATCTACGTGTAAGTGTGTTGCTAGTTGCAGGGGAGGCAAAGGCAGAAGATCAAAGACAGAAGCAAAAGGCTCAGAAAGAGGCCCGTTCCCCGTCCTGGACCAGTTTTGATTTTGATGAAACAGAGGGCTCTGCAGTTCACTTATAACCACTCGGAAGTTCTTCAGACGGTGCAAAGGCGTACCAAGGAGCAGCCACTGTTTACTGAGGCTGTCCTGAGAGCCAGCTCCTTAGATCCGTTGTTTCACTGAATCCTTCCCAGGGTAGGTGCCTGGAGAACAGGTGTCGCCTCCTCCATCTCCACGTCACAGGGGAGGGGACCAGGCAGGTTACTTGGCCAAGGCCATGCAGTTTGAAAGCGCCAGTCCCAGTCTTTCTGCCTGTCCTCCCTGCACAGTGCTGCGTGCCATACTGGAGTTGTAATGGAGCGAATTTGCCATCTGGAGGGACTATAGCTTGTTTCCTGATTTCCTTCCGGTGCTCAGTTTTTCTCCCAGATCGGTCTCTGTTCCCCTGGTCTAGGAGCCTTCAGCAGCTCCCCTGACCGCGTGCAAGACGTGTTCCAAGTCGCTAAAGATGTGTCCAATCCAGCAAAGGTTATGCTCACTTTTACTTTTTAAAAAATTTCTTATTTTTTTGGTGAGGAAGACTGGCTCTAACATCTGTTGCCAATCTTCCTCTTTTTGCTTGAGGAAGATTGTCACTGAGCTAACATCTGTGGCAATCTTCCTCTATTTTGTGCATGGGACATTGCCACAGCATAGCTTGATGAGTGGTGTGCAGGTCCGCACCCAGAATCCAAACCCACGAACCCCAGGCTGCTGAAGAGGAGTGCGCAAACTTAACCATTACGCTAGTGGGCCAGCCCCTCTGCTCAATTTTAAATGTTTGCTTTTAAAAGTTGAAGAGGTGATACACATGCACAAAAAAAAATTTGTTTCTGGTTGTTCTCTCCAATAAAAAAAAATTAAAGTGATCTTACTAACGAGAGGTTTTAAATAAAAAGGGGAGCACTATATTAGCTTTACTATATAATTGTAAAGGAATAAATGCTCATTGTAGAAAAATTGGAAAACAGAAATATATTAAAAAGGAAATAAATACTGCTCGTAGTTGACCCTCCACAGATATTACTGATAATATTTTAATGTATTGCCTTTCCAGTTTCTCTCTT